TGCCTCATTTGAGGATCATGCATGGAGCAGTTGCCATTGAGATGTTTCTCTAGGTTTGTATTCCACCTGCCACATTTGGATTGAAACTCGTGTCTGAACTCCAAGACACTGCATATAATTTGTAGTTTTGTTTGACTAACTTTGGTGAAAAAAGGACTGTGCACTGAGTAACTAATAGGATTATATGCAAATGCCCAACATAACAATGTATAGAGTCATTGCAGAAAAAAGGGGTCAAAGTTTTCAACTTCAATTATTTTAAGGCTTCAGTGAGAAATGTCAAACTCCCTTTCCTTCCCTGCTTCTTCTAGTCAGGAGATGTTATCTTGGCTTTTCTGGTGAGCTCACTATTCATTTAGGAAGAAGTATGGTTGCTTTCTAAAAGGAACTCTCATTTAGCATCCTCTCTTCATGTTTTCTCAACTAATTATAAGATAATGCTACTAGTGTCTTGTTAATCACACTGAGATTTCAAGATAAAATGCTTCAGGAAGAGGTGGGTGCTAGAACCAATGTCTGGACTTTGGTTTTGCTTCAGAGAAGCAGGACCATTCCTACTGTTTGAGAAACTGGGAAGGATAGTTTGCTACACTTCACACTTGATACAAAGTCAAGGCCTTTTTTTAAAGCACTGAAGAATTGGATAGGCAGTGATGGACTCTTTGCAGCACTAGGCACTGCTCTGCAGCTCTTCACAATGTAAATTACTTGCCTTTCCAGGAGATCGCCTTGGAAATATTCTTCAAAAATGGTTACTCCAGATTTCTTGTCTTCCATGACAGTGACCGAAGTAAGATATTTAAGAGGTAATGTTTACTTCATAATAACATGTGAACACCCAGGTGACACTCCTGGTGTGTGACCCCTTATTATCCTGGCTTCAGATGACTGTCTTGTGCCACCTCAGGGGCTTTCTTCAATTGCAGCTCCTTGGTCTTCAAAGGGTTACAGTTAAGCAATGCTATGGAATATTCCTTTTGCTGACATATGAAATCTTTAGAGCATTATATAGCCATTGATTTGTCAAGGGAGCTAATGCATGTGTAGGATTTCCCTAGCACCCAGTGGTGTGTTCTATGTCCCTGCATCCCAGGAAATTGGAATTGTAGCTGTGCTGCTTCCTCTCACTGAGATGAGAGCCACCTCCATCTTACCTCACAGTACTGGGTGAAAGAAGGTTTCTTCCTGCTTCCAACACATAGAATGTCATTAGACTCTTTTGAAATAAAATGGTTTTATCTCTCTGACTTTGTATCTTTGGTATGGAGGTAACTTTTAACAATGGAATTTTTGTTTGTTTTTATGTCCTTGTCTTATTTAATGAAGCTTGAATGTAAGACCATGAAGTGATTAATTTGCACTTTGTTTTCTTGCAGTTTTTTTGCAAGTGCTATTCTGGCCGTTATCATAGAATCATAGAATTGTTTGGGTTGGAAGGGACCTTAAAGATCATCTATTTCCAACTCCGCTGCCATGGGCAGGGATGCCTTCCGCTAGGTCAGGTTGTTCAAAGCTCCATCCACCCTAGCCTTGAATACTTCCAGGGATGGGGCATCCACAATTTCTCTGGGCAACCTGTGCCATTGTTTCACCACCCTCACAGTCAAGATTTTCTTCCTAGTATCTAATCTAAATCTCCCTTCTTCCAGTTTAAAGCCATTCTCCCTCATCCTATTGCTACATGTCCTTGTAAAAAGCCCCTCCTCAGCTTTTCTGTAGTCTCCCTTCAGGTACTGGAAGGCTGCTATAAGGTCTCCTTGGAGCCTCCCCTTCTCCAGGTTGAACAATCCTAACTCTCTCAGCCTATCTTCACAGGAGAGGTGCTCCATCACTCTGATCATTTTCATGGCCCTTCTACTGGACTCCCTCCACCAGCTCAGTGTCCTAGTGTTGGGCAGTGTTGGACCAGAGCTGGACAGAGGACTCCAGGTGGCATCTTATGAGAGTGGAGTAGAGGGGCAGAATTACCTCCCTCAATCAACTGGTCACACTTCTTTTGAATATCAGGGTTATTTTTGCTATCCTTTACAGAGGAAAAATACTTCAATGCATAGTACTTCCTGTGATAAATTCTGCAGCCTGGACTGAGAAATGGTACTGTTAATTTTTTTAACAATCATAGCAGTTCCTTCTCCTCTTGAAATTTCTGAACAGTTTCTATTGGAGTATTGCTTTAAAAGTCAAAGCAGATTTATCTGTTCTTCCTTTACTATGCTTGCTGCATAGTGTGGCCACTTAGAATCACAAGGTTCTGTCTCAGAGACAGCAGCTTTGTTTAGGCCTTATCTTTGCTGTATTTCAGCTCTGACAAATACCTCATCAAAAAATCTTGCAGAGGCAAGTCAAAATAATGTTTTGATCCTCAGCTGCCTGTGTGGCACCTTGGCGAAATGTTAGCCAACCTATGTATTTTAAGATTTTAACATGTGTGACATTTTAAACCCCCAGTGAAAGTAAACAGGAATGGCTGAGAAAAGGGTTGGTATTGTTTTTTGCCATTTTTACTAGATAAATGTCTGACTGGGTTCTCATTCCCTGGCTTTTTTTTAATCACCTGATCATAAGCCCAGACTTCTCTACAGCAAAACAAAGACCTCTTTTGGAAAGCAACTGCTTTTATCTAATCCATAGACAGCTCCTTAACATTAAACATAAACTCTTGCTGTGTTGTCTTGCATCTTTTTTCCTGGGTTAGAGTCTCAGTGAAATGCTGTAGCATCCCTTAGGAAGAATGTTGCTGTGAGGACATGGCACAGATTACATACATATGTCATGTATATAGATAATAATTTGAATAACTGTAATGTGACCTTTCATATCTCCTACAGATTTTGCTCTTTCCAACCTGCTTTGAAGTCAAAAGGGATAACAGAAGAGACCCTGAATATAAGGTAAATGATGGGAAACAAGTGAAATTGTGTAGCTAATTTGCACCCTAAAAAAATCACCTAGAAACTACCTATTTATGTCTCCCCATTTTGAAGATTCAAAGATGTCTTTAGAATTCCAAAAAGCTTTCTAATGTACAACATTCAGAGTATGAAGACATGAAGAATGATTTGTGTATATCTATGTATAGTTGATTAATAATAATTACCTCCTTAATAAGACTTTATTGGTAAACTCTACAAAAACTGTGAAAAAGAGACAGTAAGATGAGGTTAGAGCTAATCCATAATGTTTCTGCATAATGACCTCTTTATTGTGTGGTTAGGGCAGACAATGATAGATATACACATGGATTTTTTTGCATGTTACAGTGGTGGTGATCGTGTCATGCAAGTTGGAGATCACTGCACCCTGGTACAGAACCCAAAATCCCAGATAATTTGCTTATGCAGAATTTAGCTCATGCTGAAGCATAACCTGAAATAAAATAGTGCCACTGCCTAAGTCATGATCCCAGAAAAGTTGTGCTTAACTACAAAGAGAAAATTACCCCTGTGAGCATGCTTGTCTTCAGCAAGTTCCAGTATGGGAAGTGAAGGACTGGTGACTTGATGAGTTTACTTTTCCCTGGAAAAGTGACTGGAACCGCTCCTGAGAATAATTCAAGTAGTACATGGGGCTTCTTTCCAATCTAGGGATCAATGGCCATCTTCCATAGCATCGCAGCTCCTTCTGCTGTACCTGAGACAGGGAGGCAAACCATTTTTCCAGACACACTATTAATAATTGCTCAGCTGAAGCATGGGTATTACTAGTCTGATGTATCATAGAAACTAGAGGTACTAGTAATTCTGGGAAACCCCTACCAGTTTTTGCATGTATTCCCTAGGTATAATAGACAGGAGTTCTGATTACTAAGCTCTGCTGTAGCCATTTAGAAAAATTATGATGGGCTGTTACTGAACAACTGAACACTTTGCCCATGGCACTTAATTCTTCATTTAAATATACTGAAATGTTTGCTGTCACCATATGTTACTACGGCCACAGCCAGAATCTCTTCTCATGTCATACTTGACTGCTTTTATAATCTGCTTATTGCTTGTACCTGTATATTGCTGTTTGCAGGCTGCCAGCACTCTCTGCCCTAGGGATGTGATTTGAGTAAGTGAATGTGTGTGCTCAGGTGCACGTGTATATGCACACATGTGAACAGAAAGCTGAAAGTACTGTGGGGACACCAGACCAGAATTAGTTAATTCACCAGCTGACTCTTTGATCGAGGAAGAGGATGACTTTTTTCTCAATCACTGCTTAAGTAATATGCCCTGCACTCTTCAAAAGAGAATCTTTTCCCTACCCCCTCCCCTTCTGTACCTTCCTCAGGAGGAGACTCAGAGGCAGAAAAAACACAATGAGTATAGTTAGAGATGCTGATGGTGTTGTGCAAGTTAAAGATCACTGCACACAAGTGTAGCACCTAAAATCCCAGAAGATTCTGGCCCCTTGATAGCAAACAGGACCTCTGGTTGGTTAGCTGTAAGCATTGTGTTTGCACTGCTTGTTTACTCATGAGCATAACATTTTTGTCTGCTGAACTGGAACACTGTTCCTACACTGACAATGCCTATCTGAGATTGTCTGAGGGGTTTGTAGCCAGCACCAGAAGGTTCCCAGGTATATTGCTGTTCCTCCAAATGTTTTTTACTGAGATTAGTTGAACTGTGTCTTACTGTATGCAAATGAACAGGACTAGTGTTTGGAGCTCAACTGTGGGAGTTAAAGTTACTGGAAAACATATTTTTGAAGATTCCTTCACTGAACACATGCACACACAAAAGACAAAAAAAAAAACAAACCAAAAAATCCAAAACCCAAATATGGAGAACCTGTAAAAAAAGACCCAGATGCTCAAGAGTAGTCTTTCCTTTTCCAAATATACGTCTTCTAGTTGTTTTGGATTTCATTTTAGAGACTGCACAGATTTGCTGCTTCTGAAACTGAGTAGATCTTTAAAGGAAGACAACTGCAGGAGAAGGGAGGAGGAAGGTGGCCAGTTTTTATTAATTTGAACTTTATGGGACATGGTCTATGGAATACCTTGCTTGATTTCAAGGATGTTCGCCTTTTAATCTCCATTCTTCTTGGTTATTCTTTGCAGAGGAATTGGGTGTAAGGAGTAAAGAGAAACTTGGCTTCTTTGAAGGTCTGGGTGTTGTATTCGTTAACATGTTCTGTTTGTCCCTCTTACCCTTACACATCCTCAAGCAGGAAGAGCACAGGTCTTCCTCTTGTACTAAGTAAAGTGTTTCTACACGTTTGATGGAGTCGACAGGCTCTTCTTGGGTTGTTGAATCTGGGAAAGGGTTTCTTTCTGCGTTCAGTTTCTTGAGCTTGGGGAGGTTTTTTACACTGCTTGGGATGGTGGTCAAGGCATTGTCAAAGAGACCTATCTCTCTAAGTTCCATCAGGGTCCCAAGACTGGTGGGAATACTCTCAAGAAAATTCAAGCCAAGGTTGAGAATGTGCAGGTTCTTAAGAAGTTTCAGATCTTCTGGCAGATTTCTGGTGGTCAGCTTGTTGTTGCTTATATTCAGATATAAAAGTTTCTGCAGTGTACCAATTGCCTTGGGCAACTCCTCAAGCTGATTACTATGTAGGTCCAGCCAGCGCAGATTCTCAAACTTCTCAATGGTGTTTGGAATTTTTTTTAGCATGTTTCTACTCAAATCAAGCTCATCCACATCAGCCAGTTTCAGAATGCACTTGGGGAAGGTAGCGATACCCATCTTGCTTAAGTCAAGACGACGTGCTCCATCAAAAACGATCCGGATGGAATTTTTTGCAATTTTCATGGTGATCTTCTTCCCTTTTGGACCTTTTTCTTTCCCCATCTCTCCAGTGAGAGACAGAAAGACACACCAGACTCTGTGGATGAATTGTGGAAACTGTGTTAAAGCCTTTGAAAGCAGTGGTTGTTACTCCCTAATTAAAAACAGGATAATCACTTAGTTATAAATTAACTGGACTCTTCAGAAGTCTTTTTTTTTCTTTTCCTTTTTTTTAAGGTCAGGATTCTCAATCCTGTAGCTGCAACTCTGAAAGTTCTTCCTGAAAGTATTTTGAGTAGGTGAAATTCTAATAATTTGCAATATTATTTTATTGCGTTGTAACACCTATATTGCATTACAGGCTGAAATTACAAGTGGGAGAATTTACTGTCTTTCATCTGTAGATGCTAATTTGAAGTTGGCATCTAATGAAACTGAATGAAATGTGTTATCTGTTGGCTGTTTGAGGACCTGAGCAAAATGCATTATGAGTCTCAATCCAGTCCTCAGTGGCTTCACTGTAAGAAACTATCCAAAATTGTACTTACTGTAGCAGACCAATAGGTTGCCTTCTTGACAGGCCTGGCATTTCTTGACAGGTTGGTTAAACACCCTGTTTAATGGACCTGAGATTTGGGGTCTGGAAATTATTGAAATATTAAATATTTAAAGCAAATGATTAAGAGTCTTTTTTTAACCAGGACCTCAGGAATATAGTGGGGTCCCTGATGTGCCAGGACTGCTTGCAGTTCACACACCCCCTGCCAAGCAGACTGCAACAGGAGGTCTGTGTCAGTGCTGCTTAACGACATGTGACAGCAGGCCTTAGTGTCCCCCATGCTTTCAAGGCCAGACTCTGGATACTCTAGCCTTGTTTTTCTATCCATGCTGGGGGATAGATGGACTCCCACTGTGAAGGTCATGCCCTGCCTTTGAGAAATGCGTGTAGGTGTCCTGGTCAGATTTTTGACTCATACTGATGCTCAGCATGTGCTATGTGTTTTGTTGAATTGAGGCTTGTATGAGTAATAGTCTACTGTAGTCTCATTTTAGTGAACTATCTCTCTAATTGAAGGCCATCAAATACAGCAACCAATTATGGCTAGTGACGAAGCAGGCTGATTCCCTGGAAATGGATTACTATGTCCCTCTCAGCCAGAGCTCAGGGAAGAGCATGGGTTACAGTTGGCTAATCTCCAGGATGGGTCTGGGTGCTCTGGCATTTAATTGTGAAGAGTCAAGTCGCAGCTTTGACGAATGATTATTTGGGAAAAAAGTATGGATTTGTCTACAATACATTTTCTGATTAGAGAGGCTTCATTATAAACCCTTCAGGCTTTTTGGCTACTCATTAATCATGTGCAAAAACATTAAGGGGAAGCTCAGACTACAGCTAAGGCATTTCAGCTCCTTTTCAATTACATGTCATAGCCAAAAGTAACACAAAAGCAAGGGAAATGTCTTCCAGTTACCACCCATCCTCTTGGGAGATCTGTTATGAGGCAGATGCTTCAGAAAATCCTGTAAGCAGCACAGGGTCAGTCTTGCCCTGAGGGTATGCTCCAAAATTGAATCTTTCTTATTTTATATAAAAATATTTAAACACAGTTCCATTTTTGATTGTCATTTCCACATTTCTGTCTCTCACCAGTACTTACAGGGCCATATTACCATTATATTTGAAGGCCTCTGAATCTTTGCTGTATTTAACCTTACAGTGTCCCAGGGGTAATATCAATTCTTTTCTTTACATAGTATAGACTGATAACAGAAGTAAAATACTGTACAGTGGAAAATAAAGTTATTTTTCCACCTTTGCTGATGTTAGCTTAAATAATTTGTCCAGGAGTAGGTAGGATGTTCTCAAGATAGAAAACAAATAGATTTTTTAAAATAAAAATTCACTCATTTTAGTGATTTGATTCAATATGACTCTTGGCAAATCTCTGAAAATGAAGTTCATCATATAATCATAGAATGTTTAAGGTTGGAAGGGACCCTAAAGACCACCAGGTTCCAACCTCATGGCAGGGACTCCCCACATGAGACCAGACAGCACAAAGTCTCATCCAACCTGGTCTATGCCCCCTTCAGGGAGGGGGCTTCAACAACCTGCCTGGGCAACATATTCCAGTACCTTATTACCCTCACAGTACAGATTTTCTTCCTGATGCCTAACCTAAATCTGCCCTCTTTCATTTTAAAACCATTACCCCTTGTCCTATCAACTGCCCTCTCTGGTGAAAAGCCCCTCCCCAGCTTTCCTGTAGGCCCCCTTCAGGTACTGGAAGGCCACTATAAGGTCTCCCTGGAGCCTTCTCTTCTCTAGGCTGAAGAACCCCAGCTCTCTCACTCTGTCTTCATAGCAGAGGTGCTTCAGCCCTTTGATCATTGTGGCTCTTCTCTGGACTATCTCCAACAGCTCCATGTCTTTCGTGTGCTGAGGGCTCCAGAGCTGTACACAGTATTCCAGGTGTGGCTTCACCAAAGTAGAGAGGCAGAACACCTCCCTGGCCCTGCTGGCTACACTTGTTTTGATGCAGCCCAGGATGCAGTTGCTCTCTGGGCTCCAGCACACACTGGTGACTCATGTTGAGCTTCTCATCAACTACTACCTCCAAGTCCTTCTTCTCAGGACTGATCTCCAGCCATTCTCCCCCCAGCCTGTATTTGTGCCTGGGGTTGCACCAACCCAAGTGCAGGACCCTGCAATCGGCCTTGTTGAACTTCATGAGGTTGGTGCTGACCCACCTCTCCAGCCTGTCCCTCTGGATGGCATCTGTTCCCTCTTGGGTGTCAACCACTCCACATAATTTGGTATTGTCAGCAAACTTGTTGATGATACGCTCAATCCCACTGTCTGCCACTAACAAAGATGTTGCACAGCACTGGTCCCAATACTGACCCCTGAGGGACACCACTTGTCACTTTCCTCCACTTGGATGCTGCACCGTTGACCACAACTCTCTGGGTGCAGCCATCCAGCCAATTACTCATCCACTGAGTGGTCCATCTGTCAAAGCCATGCCTTGTCAGTTTGGAAACCAGGATGTCATGTGGGACAGTGTCAAGTGCCTTGCACAAATCCAGGTAGATGATGTCAGTTGCTCTCCCATTATCCACCATCTCTGTAGCCTTGTCATTGAAGGCACAAAATTGGTCAGGCATTATTTGCCCTTAGTGAAGCCATGTTGGCTGTCACCAATCACCTCTTTATTTCCATTTACTTTTTTTTTTTTCTAAATTAAAAATTTGAATTTTTTAATGCTTTTTTTAAAGCATCTTTAAAACTCTCAGAAAACATTTTGTTCATTTTAGAGTAATGTTTTTCTATTACTTTTCATTTAAAATCCAAGAGGGAAACATTGATCCAAAACATTCCATAAAAATACCAGCTAGCCAAAAAATCAGCCTGTTCTGCAGCTGTCAATGCTGGTTCCTTGTGCTGGTGTCCCTCGGTGTTGTGCGTGCCTGAGAGCACTAGAGGGAGCCTGGGGTAGAAGAGTGAGTTCTCGAGGTTTTGAAGTACAGTGCAGTTTAACCTTTTGGGGTTTGGGTATTTCTCTATCAATAAACCTTGCCAACTTGTTAAAAAGTTTTAATCTGGACGTTTCAGATTTTTAAGAAGTCCAAAAAAAATAGATTAGTGTCTTTTTTCGTGAAGACAGACCTCTGTGCTGGACAATGCACAAACTTCAAAGAGACTTAACCACCTCCTGTAGCTGAATTTAAAAAAAAAAATCCTTCCATGGACCTCTAATATGCACTGGTCAGGAAAACATGAGTCCCTAGGGAGTTCTCATGATTTCCAAGTTCCATTTCTTTTGGGTTAAAAGTTGAGTCACATTTCAAACTTTCCAAAAGGTGATTTTTCAGTCCCAAAAATAAAGATTAGCATTAGACTTCTGCAGAAACACTGCAGCACACCAGACAGTTTGAAGGAGATGAATATACCTCTCTTGTCTCTATATGCTTGTAAACTAATTATTAGTGTTTCTCAGGACTGTAACTGGAGATAATGGAGCCTACTTAGCCATGTCTCATTTTCTTTAGCTTCACATAAGAGGGCTCCAGTTCCGTAGCCACTGATATTAAAAATTCAGGAATTGCAGGAGCGCTCCTTGTTGTAACTGTTAATTATGCCTGTGTCATCTGATGTTTGCATTGCATCTCCTGGGGTGGCAGCAGGAGAGGTAAATGTGTTGCTCTACTATCTAGGAAATTATGACAGGAAGAGGGAATGCTCTTTATTAATTTTCTGTAAACCCTCACCCCCACTGTCAGGTTCATTCTCTGAGTTGCTGGCAAACTTTTGCCTGAAGGTTGGCATGCTGCATCTCTCTGTGATAAGGTCTCACTAAAAAGGATCTTGACTAGAAAGCTCTGTCCCTTTTTAAACACATGTGGTATAATATTTGGTGTGTATTGGGCTTTTGAAAGCCCACGGCTGCCTAACACCAGAGCTTTAGGAGTGTTTCACAGGCCCAGAGCTTTGAGACTGACCTGATACAGAAATTACTAGAAAATCCTGTCTGTGGTGCTCTATGTTGTTGGGATCTGCAGAGAGGGAACAGACATTGAGCATTGGTGCTAGAACTGTCAGTGTCTTCCTGAGGCAAGGAGGTTTGGAAATTAATCCTTATCTGCATTTCAGCACTTGCTTAAGGCCCAGTTATGATGAGTAGTTTAAGTGTTTCCTAAGAAGATCTGATCCTGGGAGAATACAGATTCAGACCCTGATGATGCAGTCTCATTCACCTGACCTTTTTCTTCCACCTTTCTCAGCCTAGTGCTAGGAGGACCAGAACATGCCCTGTGCCTGTGACACTGAGTGTTTCCGGACCACCTTATCCGTGGTTCTGTCTATTCTTTTCCTCTCACAGGGTGCTGTTACTTGCTTCTGTGCACCCAAAGTTTCACAGAACCATCTCGATCCCATCTTGAACTACTCTGTGAGAAAAGTTTCCTCTTCCTGCTAGAAGTCTGTGTATTGCAGAGCAGGCTGGCCATGCCCAGTGGAGCTACACATGCCCTGCAGTTCTCTGGAGGCAGGAAGGCAGTAG